CCTAGGGCAGCTTCTAAACAACTCGTGGAAATACCTTCCTTGTCTTGCATGATTCAGTCTAATCCTCATAGTATATATTAAAGAGAAAACTAGCTTTGAAAAATGTCATAAATTGTGTTAAGTTAGGTAATTAATTAGACTTTTCTCCAATTCTGAAGAACCGCTATTTCCCTTAATCATAGACTTAGAAGCTTAGCTGTAAAATAAGCCCGAATACGTAGAATTCAGCGTTTCGCACATTTCCATATAACCAGCCTCAGTCTCTAAGGCAAGGATGATTCAGCAACTTTTTAACCCCAAACTTCTCATCAAATAAAAAACAAAATGACAAAAGTTGAGAAACAGAACACAGGAAATCAACAGTTCGCAAACATAATTTTGCGAACTGTTGAACTTGCCTCCATAAATTTGACTATAAGTCATTGTAGGCACTGCTAAAATCAAGTATATGATACTTTGCTACATAATTTACTTTCTTCTCACCTTTTAGGAAGGCTTAGTCTGCATGCAAGAGGGGTGTGTTTATTCGTGGGTAAAATACAAGTGCGGGACTTGCCCTGTGGCCCCCCGATGCTTTTTAGCCCTAGAGCATGGACTCTAGAACACTGGGCCGTCAGGAAAGAGCAGACACCAATCACCAACGTAGCCAACCAGCCACTGAAACACATCCCTTGCATAAATATAAATAAATTAAAATTCGTTGGGAGAGCTCTTCTTGCAGAAAAATGACTAAATGTGACTTCCTCAGTCACATACACAGAGAAACCTAAATGCTACGTTGTTTTGTCTTGACTAGTGGTCTCTAAATGCTTTTGATTCATTATCATCAGCGATGTACAGGGTTTGAGCATGCACATTTTCATATATTTATTTATGAATTAGAAATCTATTGTGTGCCTATTTATATCATGCATAAGAATACATAGAGCCCAGCTAGTGTGGCTCAGTGCTTGAGTGTCGACCCCTGCACCAAGAGGTCGCCAGTTTGATTCCCAGTCAGGGCACATGCCCAGGTTGTGGGCGTGATCCCCAGTGTGGGGCATGTAGGAGGTGGCCCATCGATGTTCTCTCTCATGGATGTTTCTATCTCTCTCTCCCTCTCCCTTTAATCAAAGAAAAAAAAAAAAAAAAGAATACATAGAACCCTAGCTGGTTTTGCTCAGTGGTTAGAGCATTGGCCTGTGGACCAAAGAGTCTTGGATTCAATTCTGGTCAAGGACATGTACCTCGGTTTTGGTTGTCTGGTTTCCTTCCTATGATAAAAGGGCTCACTCACTGCACCAACTTTCATGCTCATTCCCTGGGGATGAGACTCTGTTTCAGAGTTCTGGTCTAGAACACCACATCTTCATGTGTTGCTCTTGAAGTGTTCTTAATAGTTACACCAAGGTTACAGCCTGTATCTTAAACATGTATACATCACTTTCCAAAATGTACTCCTTTTCTTTTAAAAACACCACAGTTTGAAGACTCCAGTTCTCGAATATGTCTTCCAAGAAGTTCAATACGACAGTGTAAGTGAACCATAATCCCTGCTTTAACAGGCTTGAGAAGGGCACCAGCCAGTGAGTGTGCATCACGAGATGTACGACTCGGTCTTCTCTGGAGATATACCGCCCAACAGAAAGATGAAATGGTTTAAGTTACAGCAATGCCTCCTGTTTCTCCCCAGCAAGAATACCAAAACCAAGTGACAACGCCATCTGCACTGATATCTAATAGTAAGAGAGAAAGGTTTTAAAAAAGTAAACAACTGGTATTTCCTAAGAGGGGTACTTGCCTTAACTCAATGGCTGATTTTACTTAATCGTCACGAAACACCCAGAAGTAAAGACTATTTTTATGTTAAACTATATGAGGCAATTCTTTCCCAAGATCCTTTAAAAAACAATAACTCATAAGTGTTGTTTCTCCAAAGACTTTTGAAAAGGGCATACACTTCCTACCCAGCCTTTGCCACACACCTGCCCCTCATTCCAAAAACACTCCCTGGGCAAAAGGACCCAGCATGTAAAACTACAATATTAGAAGCAAAACAGCTACAAAATACATACGTTGAGGAGAGAGAGGTAAGTCTACAAAATGAGTGTCAACCTGCCTCTTCTCTAATCTACCCTCACACATTTGTCACTTTAATCCTAGCAAATTCCTCTGCTGATGATTAGCAAAGTGTATTTCTACCAGGTTTCATCATTTCTTCTGTAAAACTCAAATAATAAATCTAAAGAGGGTTACAAACAAAATAAATCCTAGTAATAATAAAGATGTTTATTAGACTAAAACACAATGCCACACAGATGCCACATTGCTACCCTCCCCCCACAATACCGTGCCAGGCTCTAGGCTCCAGGGTGCCCACTGACACACACAGGATGTTTGCACTGAACTTCCCTCCGCGGGCAATTGAGACTGGACACCTACTGACAGGCCACGTGACCTGGTCGATTCCAGAGTGTGGATCTCTTAAGGCAAGTTAAAAACAAATGTTTTCATCTTCTACAAAACCAGGAAGTACAAATATTTGCCCTTTTTTTTTTTTTCTAAGCCAGTTTATATTCTGGTCACAAATATACAACATTCTTTTAGGCTTCCACCCACATTTTTTTCGTTTATAATTTTTGGTTTTTTACAGTCTCAGCCCATGTGGGTTCTATACCAGACAGTGTGCCTATTGTCGAAAATAACATATAATAACATATACACTGTATTAAAGCATTGGAATTTGCTAAGAGAGTAGAATTTAAGTGTTCTCACCAATAAATAAATAAATATCTCTCTCTCTCTCTCTATATATATATATATATATATAGAGACACACACAGAGAGAGAGAGATATGTCAGGTGATGAATGTGCTAATTAACTAGAGAGTGAGTATCCTTTTACAGTGTATATGTGTATGAAATACCATGAGGTACACTTTGAATATCTTACACTTTTATTTATCAATTTTACTCCATAAAGCTGAAAAATAAATACAGCTATGCATTACCATAAAAATAAGTGTTAAAAATTAAATAAGACAAGCAATGCAATGCTGTTGGCCTAAAAATAGAAGATGTGTCACCCAATACGTATATATTCTAGTATTAGGAGACCTCATTAAGTCTATTTATAAAGTGGTACAGGAGCCTGAGATTAACATACTATAAGTGTAAGTTTTGCTATCATCACTGTGTCTCACATTCTCTTGTATTAATACACTTTCCACTTCTACTTAAGCCGAGTGCACAGTTTTGATGAGAGGTAGAAAAATGGGTGTTTTAAGGCAGAAGCCCTTATGGAGGTACACATGCCTGAGATTCTTCTCTCTCTATTTTGCTAATTAGAAAATTAAAATATCCCCAGCACAGCAGTGTGTCCCCCGTCCCAGGGCCCCCATCCAGCACACACAGGTGTCCGTAGTATTTTTGACCAAAGCAAAGCTTCACTCATGAACACGGCTTCTTCTTCAAGGATATGATACATTCTCCAAGAAGGAGGGCTTTGCCAGGTTAGACTGTAATGAACCAGTCGAGGAAAACATATGAACTATCGGCCTTCCCCGAGATTTTATAGAAGTACACAATATATTCTCTTTCTGGAACTATTTAAGTGAGAAGCTTGGGTCAAGAAAGAACGGTAAATAGCCAGAAAGTCTAAAATTCTCCTAAAATTAAATTAGGCTGGTGAGTTTATTCTGGAATGGTTTAGATTTTCAGGAGCTGATCAAAATGACCCATTTTGTGCATTATTACTTTTACCACAACTATAATTTATTTAAAACTGGAGTTATAACAATAATAATTAAATAATATAACAGGAAAGAAGAGAGTTGAAATGACAGAAATGTAAGTCCTAAGAGCTACAACAATAAAGCAAACAGCCACTAAAATAACAGATAGGAAAAATAAAATTTTTTTAAGTGAATAAAAAATGTGGACACTTTAGCTAAGGCCAAAAATATTGTCCTGAGAATTGAAAATTAAAGAAGGTAAACATCTTAGAGAAGTTTTTAAGTAGCTAAGAACATCAAAAGTTCACAAGTGTTTTTTAAACTACGTCATGAAAAGACCTAAGTAAAAAGAGCAACGATAAATTGAAATTCTTACTGCTAAAAAAATAATAATAATAAATTAAGAGGCAGATAATTTGGTTTCCGAAAATAGGGCAGGAGTATAAAATTTTGAACAACCAGTAATTAAATTTTTTTCATAGAATAAAAGATAAATGTTCAGCCTGGCTGGTGTGGCTCAGTGGTTGGGTGTCGACCCATGCACCAAGAGGTCGCTGGTTTGATTCCCGGATAGGGTACATGCCCAGGTGGTGGGCCCGATCCCCAGTGGAGGGCATGCAGGAGGCGGCCAATCAATGTTCTCTCTCATTGATGTTTCTATCTCCCTCTCCTTTACCCTCTCTCTCAATAAAGAGAAAAACATTTTTAAAAATAAAACAGAAAGAAACAGCATTTAATAAATAAATGTTCAACTGCACCCATCTGCTTGCCCACACTGTCATCAAATGACTTTGTTAGTGTCACGGATTAAATTGTGTCTTCCAAAAATCATGTTGAAGCCCTAACCCTCAGTTCTTATTTGGAACTAAGGTCCTTACAGATGTAATGACTTATGATGAGCTCATATTGGACTAGAGTGGGCTTTTAATCTGACTGGTATCCTTTGGACACAGTGACAGAGACACAGGGACAGGGCCGTGTGGTGACGAAGCAGAGACGGGAGTGACGGGGCGGAAGCCCAGAGTCAGCAAGGATTGTTGGCCTCCGCCAGGAGCTGGACAGAAGCAAGGAAGGACTCTGACAGTCTCAGGGATCATGCTCCTGCAGGCACCTTGATTTTGACCTTCGTGAGACCATGAATTTCTTCTGTTTAAAGCCACCCAGTCGGCGGTGCTGGGTTATGGCACCGGAGGAAACTATAGGGTCACTGTGTTGTCCTGCAAATCCAAGCGCACAGTCTAAGGGCCACGGGTTAGGAGAGTTGTGTGGATGCCCGGAAGAACTTACCTGCCACGTAGTCACCAAATCCGATGGTTGTCAGAGTGATGACCACGAAGTAAATGGCATCCAGGGCACTCCAGCCTTCTATGTGCTTGAATATGATCGCAGGCAGAGCCACGAAGAGCACGCAGCCGAACAGTATAAAGATGATGGTTGAGATGATGCGAATCTTGGTCTGACTGACATTCCACTTCTGGGGGGGTGGTGAGAGAGAAAGAGAAACCAAGATTGACTGATGACTGGGGCATGCATCAAGCTAAACTATATACACCACTATCAGCAAATTAGCAAGTGGGAATGTTATTTTATCCCCTTTTATGACTAATTTCTGATTGTCTTTATAAGGAAAAAAAATTGGGTATAGCACCAATAGCTCAAAACACACAATGCTAATAATGATGCCACTTTAGTCTTATATAGCTTTATAATGGGTAGCATACTCTCAAAAGTAAATACTTTTGCTCTGACGACAATTTCAGATTTACATCCTTCTTTCGTTTACCTGAACTATTCTTTAAGTATTTCTATTCTATAAGCATCCAATTGATTGTGGGGTAAACACAATCTAGAAGTACATGAAAATGGGAAAAAAAATTCAATCATGAATTAAACATTTACTACTGATAATTGATAAAATTATTCCCTCTCATCCTATCACATTTCCACTAACTGTTCAATTGATTCAAGTGCAATATTAAGAGACTTAAATTCTGCGGTTGCCTCCCAGGGGAACCAGATGAACTGTCGCTCTGTTCTATAGCCTTAAACTGTAAAACTAAATTCATCACAGTGACATGTAAGCAAGGATAAATCTCCCACACCCCCAAGCTACAGCTGCCATCGGAGGACCCATATTTTTCACCTCCTTCTCTTATCAGGAGTCTCCACAGTGTGACATTAAATGAAGTTAGTACAGAGAGCAGTTTCTCTCCAGATCTCCTTTTGAGATTAATCACCGGGCATTTTTCATCGCTGTCCTATCTACTGTGAAAATTACAGGCCACAGCCCCATCATAGAAGAGTCACTGCATTTTAGAGCCTGACATTTTTCTAGAAATGAAGATCAATAGGATGGAAAGTGAAAATAAACATTTCTCTAGTCCACCATCCTTATCACATATCAGAGAGCTCAATGAATTCACACTTGGAAAGTTCTCGCAAGTGTTTAGTAGTGAACGCAGGATCGTGTAGCCACTAACAGGCATGGAACTTGTTTTATTCGCTGATGTAGTTGCAGCACGACAAATACCACCCAGCGCCCAGCAGGCGCTCAGAACCGCGCGAGTAAATGAACATTCAGTGCCACCAAGTTCATGCCACTGACTGCACTTCTCAATGACTCCAAATGCGAGATATTTTTAATATCAATATAAGAAAAGCATAATGTCATAGAAAGGATAAAACTTCTGTTTTGGAATAATCATACCTATTCCACTCTAACAGTAAAAATATTTGAGAGTGAACTTTAAACTTAAATAGGAAACATAACTAATGCTAAAAACTGAAACTATAATTTAAACTGAAAAACCATACTCAAGAGTCTTATTTTATCCATACAGTTAAATGTGAAATGCTTTGATAAAAATTTTGTGAAAATATAAAACATTACTGAATAATAAATAAAATGTATTTGTGATAGTGGTGAGAATATAAATCATTTATAATCCCGTCCTCTAACACAATCCTTTTCTTTATCCATAATTTTCTTCAAACATAGAAGCTTGTAATCATGATAATACTATTATTTTTTACTTAAAATTATAATAGAAGCATTTTCATTTTATTTTTTCTCCTGAATGTAATATGGTCATGAACATCTTCAAATACATTACTGTTGGTTCTACTGAATTACATCACTTAGATAAATTTCTATCAGTGATATTACTGGATTAAACTGTATGATCACCTTTATTGTGTTTGCTACGTAGTACTCCATCCTTCACAGAAGGGCTATATAAGTTTACAAAGACACGAGCAACCAGCATGGCTACCAAAGCAATTTTTAAATAACAGAACATTGTCAGTCTTTCCTGGCTATCTCAAGCTTTCCCTCCTAGTATCTCTGGCTCTCAGAGTAAGGCCTCATTGGCAGTAGCACTATTCACATGAAATAAATGACAACAAGAAGATCGGAGGGTAAAATAACTAGCTTAGGCGAATATAGCTAGGGGACAATATATCTGGAATTTGAACTAGGGCTGTCAGATTTCTACTTTTAATGCATATTTTAAGGATTTTCTCATGCATTCATTCCTCATTTTTTCATTTATTTATACTCATTCACATAAGTATAAAGATAACTATACAGTAAGTTACATGCTAATAGGAGTACATATAAATTGTCATGGAAAACCCAAAAATGAATGTCTAACTGCACTAAAGTAATAGAAAAAGTGTAATATTTTAATAGATTAAACACTAACCACATGTAGCTAAAAGGCTACCATACTTACAATAAATGTATCTTCCACTTTTGCAATTCCTTTTCCAAATATGGTCCCTAGTTGGTCTCCAACTCCAGCCAACAAAAAACCAAAGAGGGGAATTCCCAGTAAGGCATAGATGATACAGAATATTTTTCCCCCTTCTGTGCGTGGTGAGATGTTTCCAAACCCTGGATACATTAAAAAAAGAAGAAGGGGAAGGGGAAGGGGAAGGGGAAGGGGAAGGGGAAGGGGAAGGGGAAGGGGAAGGGGAAGGAGGGGAAGGAGGAGGAGGAGGAGGAGGAGGAGGAGGGGGAGGAGGAGGGATGGGGGGAGGGGAGGGGGAGGAGGAAGAGAAGAAGAAGAAGAAAAAGAAGAATTATTCAGTTGTTTAAAAATGAGTAATAGTTTAAAACACATCACTTCAAAGTTGATTACAAAGTTCTGAAATATATCAATCACTGATTTCAACTAGTTAAAAAATCCCTTTGTTTAACATAAACTTTTAATATATTTTAATATAAAATACTCATAAGTAAACATTTCAATAATCTACAAATTATAGCAATTGTTCCAATTAAACTAGATAATAAAAACCGATGAGGTAACACGTGTAGCACAGCAGCTATTTTCATTAAATGCACTTCGGTCTCTACTAAAATCCTATTGACTGCACGGTTCTTGCTGCCATTTACTGACAAGAGTCTATTTCCTTAACGGGCTAATGTCTGGTCATGTTAATTCAGATTTTTCTCCCCATAATACTTCCATCCTTCTGTTTCTCAGCTTGGTGTTCATTGCTAGTCAACTCATCTACAGAGGGTTTTGGGTTTTTTTTTGGTTAATCATCACCCAAGAATATATTTCCATAGATTTTTAGAGGGAGTAGGAGGGAAAGAAGGAGAGAGAGAGAAACATTGATGTGAGAGAGACACACTGATTGGTTGCCTCCCGCACGACCCCAACTGGGCCAGGGATCAACCCTGCAACCCAGATACGTGCCCCTGAGCGGAATCAAACCCGTAACCCTTCAGTCTGAGGGTTAATGCTCTAACCGCTGAGCCAAACCTACCAGAGCTACTGAGGTGTTGCTTTTTAAAATTATTTTTGTTACAGATGTTTTTTCTTTTTCTTCCGTTGATTCCCCCCTCCCTCCCTCCCTCCCTGCCCTGTCCCCAGCTTTGTTGTCCATGTCCATTGTTCATGCACACATGCATACAAGTTCTGTGGTTTATCTCTCCCCACCACCCCCTCTTCTGGGGATTGTCAGTCTATACCCCACTTCCACGTCTCTGGGACTACCCCATTCTACTGAGGTTTTTTTAATGTATCTAATTTTCAAGAACTTTGCCTGTTTCTATGCCATGAAAATAATAATTATATTTATTTGTTTTTTGGTCTTGTACCATGTATTAACTCAATTCCTTGAGAGAGGTCCCACACTCCCTTTATTTAGGTGAATTTCTTCAAGTGCTGTAAATTCCCGTTTTCACACTTGGAAGCACAGTACAGCACAGATTGGTTAGTATGTGTGGCTGAAATGTATTTCCCAGCCTCAGTGAGAATCGTGGCTGACCTGGCGGCGTCTGTGAGTCTCTTTAAAGGAGTCTGGTTGAAGTAGCAACTGTGTTGGCCAGAAAGAAGGGCGCTGGCCTCCGACTGGGCTTTCCTGGGGGTGTGCTCCTCACATAACTCCCAAGAGAAGGGTCTCCCAGTCCTCACGGGAGCCGCCAGCTCCCACCACCGGCTGTTCTCGGGCCTGCCGCCTGCTCCGGGGACATCGACGACCAGCTCTGAAATGCTGTGCCCACATTTCTACTCTGGAGGCGGAGACCGGAGACAGCTACACAGTTCCACAAACCCTGCTTCAAGGCACAGGCTACTGACCACGGGCTCCCTTCTGGTCCCCATTTTGGTGCCTCCAGAAAATCTGTCTCCTTGGAACCCTCTGTTCCGCTTCTAGAGGGGATGTGGGCTCCTCGGTTCAAAAAGAGTTCACTGTCGATCTGAATCTACACGCTTCGCATCGCCCCCCGAATTCATTCCTGTGGTGCTTCCCTCCCTACACCTCCCCTGCCTTCCACCGCGAGATGGAACTGTCCCCTGCTGTTTCTATGGTCTCTGTCATCTCAGGGCAACTTTCCGGAGATGTGAGGCAAAACACACGTTTATATCGAACAGCGTGTAAAGTAAACTCATGTATCAGGGAGGGAATTAGATGTGTGGATGTAACAGTGTCTTTGAAGGTGTTAAGTGCTGATCATCTAATACAACATCCACAAATGTATAATAAGATATGCAGACATGATTGTTTTAGAAGTTTGCTTACAAGCCTACAAATAACTGATTGAGAAGGAAATCAGGATTAACAGCCTGTGAAAGGTTCACAATGTATGATAGCCCGTTCTGGATCCGTCACTCACCAGCCATGTGACCCTGGGCAAATTATTTCCTCATCTGGGGAAAGGGCATGATTGTCATTATTATCTACTTCATCGAGTTCTAAGAACTAAGTAAGCTATTACATGGAAAGTGCTTAGAAAATTCTATTATACTCTACGTGCTGAATATATGAGGTGGGGCAAAGTACATTTTACAACTGTGAGTATGCGAAACACAGAGTTTATTCTTGTATCATTTATTTATTTATTTTATTGTTTTCCATGTGAACAACCATATACCTACTTTGCCCTACCCTGTCTGTTAGGCGCTATAATAATTATTGTTATAATCACTATTGTAATAGAATAGTATTGGTAGAAGCAAAGAGTAGCCAGTCATGTGTTTAGCCCAATCCATATGCAAACTACTTAAGAGCCAGATGAATGGGTCACGATTACACAGCCCTCTCCGCTGTGTTCTGAAATGTTCTGACAAGTGCGGGTGGCATTCTTTGGAAGGAGCCTTGGCCAACAGCAGGCAGAGAGGAAAGCAACTTCTCACGCTCATGGTTGAAAGGATGGAGGATGTTTCTGCTGGAAAAGAAAGAGGACCGAGCATGGAAGAAGGCTGCTTTCAACTATCGGAATGATTAAAACATGGAAGAGGAAACAGACCTACTGTGATGCTCAAGGCAAAGAACAAAAGTAATGGGTACAAGCTACAGAACGTGGGCTCATGTTGGGGTAACTAAATGCCATCAGTGGTTATAAAAAGCAGGCAGGTCAGATAATCACCTGTAGTGTTTGATGTTTGGGACAGAGCAGTGCCATCGCCTAACCTACAGAGTATATTCAAATTTTGCCATTGTCCTGTTAAAGTCCTTTATAAGATTGTTTTCCCTGTTCCAGGGTCCAATCCAAGACTATGCATTACATTTCATTAGAACACCTCTTTAGTTTCCTTTAATCTCCTAGAATAGCTCGTACACAGCCTTTCTTTGTCTTTCATGACTTTGATGTTGTTTAAAGAGTACAAGTAAACACACTGTTACTTAAATGTGTCAGTTACACCCTCACAAATAGATTCAAGTGATACATGTTTGGCAAGAATACCACAGAAGTGATGCTGGGTCTCTCTCATTGCATCACTCCCAGGCACATGCTGGTTTGTCTTAGGTGATGATGTTGACTTTGATACTTGGTTAAAAATGTGTCCACTAGGTTTTCCCATTAAGTAGTTACTATGTTGTCCTTTGCAGTAAGTCATTTAGGAGGAAACACTTTGAGAGTACTTCAATATTCTATTCCTCCAACTTTCACTGACCAGTTATTATATCTGGAAATAAACATGTAAACAGTGCTAGAAAAGAAAACATGAAGGCAAATGAAGTAATAAGAGTAAATAAGAAAATAGCCATTTCAAACACTTCAAAAGAATACTACATATATAACAAGAATACCCTTTTAAAAATATATTAATGTGCTTTTCTATTTCATATAGAAGTGAAAAGCCCAGAATTACTAGCAGATCCCAGGGTGGGGAAGAAGGAATCAGAGGAGTGAGCGAGGTTCTCGTTCGCACGTGGCTACAGAAACCTCCGTCGGTTGTGAAAGACCCAGAAGTTCCCATTTAAGAATGGGAGGGGCTGAGAGCCCTGGAGTCAGGATGAAGAGCCTGCCATGGCTGGCACTCAAGACCTAGGGAAAACTGGCAGGACCATGGGCTCTGATGGAAGGGGTCCACACATTTAACTCGTTTACATCTGCCCTTATCTGCTAAGGCCTTGAAATGTTCTATGTGCAAAGGATCCATCCAGGGCACATGTGAAAAAGGCCCAGAAACCTTGTATTGAGGCAGGTTAGTAGGAAGCTAGGAAAATTCCTTGGCAAGTGAAATGGGGAAACTGAGACCAATAGCTAAACAGACAGCTGAGCAATTTAAAGCCAGCGAATAAATAGCAAGAACGTGTCTCCCTTAACCAAGGAAGCAAAAGGTTTACACATTCCAAGCCTCACTGAGGCCCACCCACCCAGGTCCCACTCCCCTTCCGGTGAAGTTCTCTGAAGGTAAAACTGACCAGAGAATGAACCGACCCCTTTATATGTTCATTTGGATGCATCAGCATAGCAAAGAACACACCTGGAAAGCTGGTGAATATTCTGACTGAGACCCCCCTAAAATTTCCTGCCCTTTAGAAAATAGATAAAAGCTCTTAAGACGAAGGACCCAGGGCATGCTGTACTTTCAGCCTGCCTGTGCCTTTCTTCTTTCCTCAGGCGTGTATCTTTGCTTTCTTTCTCTTAAGCTCTAAAGCTCCCAGACTTGCAACCAGGGGAGCAGTGGGCAGTGGCAGCTTGTCCTGGGCTATCCCCTGAACCTGTCCCCTGGGGCCCTCCTTCGGCCTGTGTAACTCGTTTCCTGAATCCACACAGCCCAGCTCCCTCATTTCTTCTGCCTCTGTGACTTTTTCTAAAGGGCCAAGGCACCTCTGACTAGGCTCACTCCTGATCTTGCCTCTTCTATTTTAAGCCCTTCCTTTGTTACATTGTCCCCAGCTTTAATAAACATACTCTCAAAATCACAAGGACTTTTATCTTAAAATCTTTCCTGCATGAAGTCAAGAACCCACACATTCCAGACCGTGCTGGGGCAGACCCTCCTGAGTCCCTGATCCCTTTCCACTGACAGTATCAGGGTTCCCTGAAGGAGACAAAGGCCATCCCAAAAGTTAAAAAGTCAGGGGATGTTGAAGCAGAACTGTTTGGGACAGTGCACCATTTCTGAACACTATCCAAGAACGGAACTCAAC